CTGGCTGAGCTGCTGGAGATGCAGAGAAACCAACAAAAGTATCTAATGTTTTTCATCCCACAAGCTGTGCTCATATTCTCCTTAACGCAATTTCATGCTGTTAAGAAAGACGTGTACCCTGTAATGTACCTGAGTGTGACTGCTGCCATATGGTGATTGTTTTTCATATTGTTAACATCTAGTACCACTCAAAAGTACAGACAGTAGCTAAGGCTTCGGAAAAACTGCATTATGTTTCCACGGTAGTTCTCTAGCTGTGTATGTTTTTTTTTTTTTTTATATATATATAAGAAGTAATAGTACACAATTGCTACTTAAATGTGCATTATTTAACTTTTCTGGTGGACAATCTACCACCTGCTTACCTTCATGCATATGTTATTTTGTTACCTAGAATGTTACATAGTACATTGTTAAACTTCTCTTTTGCATTTATTGCTCAAAAAACATGCATTCTTATGTCATACTGTGTAACATTTCAGGCAAAGCAATAGTATCCCCATGGAGACAAGTGGGATGTCTACCACAAAATAAGAACTGAATTCTCCCAAAGTGAGGCTGGCAGTTCAGTCTTTGTTTTTGGAATCTTTTGCATGATCTTTTTTCTGTATTATAAATTTTTCTTAATTAGCCCTGAATACTAAAATATGTGTATTCTTACAGCATGTCGTAGAGCTGGAGGTGGAAACGCTGTGGCTAGTGTATTAGCTGCATCCATTTATATACAGTCTACAATTACATGCATAAACATATAGTTGCATTTATTTAATTACATTATTTTTTGAGACCTCCTGCTGATGCAACATTGTACATCTTGAGTCAGGGGCTGATTCACATGCAGAAGCAGAGGGCAACAGATGATGACTCCTTGGCTTCAGTCTGTGTGTGATTCCTCTGATTCTGTTTAGCGGATGAAAATGTAAATTCGTTAGCATTCATAACCTAAAAAAATATGTGTAGGGCATACATGCTATTAATGTGCATTCCATTTTTTAGACTACTGTAAGTACTTTGTCCCAGTTCCATTTATAATTTTGCATGGAGTACAAAAACATTAAAATCCTCTTAATAATGGTCTTCTTATCTCTCCATATTCATCTGTTCTTCTTTGTACCTCAGCTCAAATGGATGTCAGATTCAGCTTAGACAGTACTCATTCCTCCTCTTAATGCTGTAGTTTTAATTCTCGCCCTGAGTGCTCATAATGAATAGCTGAACCTGTGTGTTGGGTTACTCCATCTTTTTAATCTACGTGAAAAAGGGAGGGATTAAACTCGAGGCATAGCATATTTATTACTTTATAAAGATGGTAATTGAATGATAATTATACCTCATGAATACATTATTAAACTTGAACCAGTTCTGTTCCATTTACTTTAGAATCAAACTTTGCTGACTTTAATAAATTGAATAAGTTGTGCCTTCTGCTTTGGGAGTGGTGTAGATTTAATATTGTATTATATGTTCTTGGTACATACGTGGACATCAATTTGTTTAAACATGCACTGTGTAAGTCCTCCACCTGCTTGTCTCCATAGAAATATTACTGTTTTGTTCCACAGTATCATCTTAAGACATCGCATTTAGTTTGTTGTTGCTCATTGTTGTTGTTTTGCTCAAAAATATCTTGAAATCATGCATTCTTATTGTGAGTGGGGTTGCTTTTCCACAGATCTGACCTGTAACTGGTCTCTGTGGATGTATAGAAAAGTGAAATGCCATACTGTGGAACATTCTAAGCAAAGCAATAACATGTGTGACTTCATGGAGACAAGCAGGTGGTGGACCCTTCACCAGAAAAGTTTTAAGTGCAGTACATTTTGCATAATAATGATCACAATTACAACATTTCAAATCATCTAAATGCAGTATATGCAGTGTCTTCGCCATTCATGAGACTTTTTATATTGACGTTTTTGTGACTCCCTTTGTCCCATTTTCCAATTAGCCATCTCAATTAGGCTAACAATGTAGCACACGAGAACTGGGATGACAAATTTAGCAACGGACGAGTTTAAGAATATCTAACGCTCTCTTTCTCTAGTCTTTTTGAACACATTTGTATGTTTATTTGTTTTATGGGGTTGGAAAATTGTTCTAATTGGCAGTAGGTTTGGCATGTTTATTGCAGCATGTCAGTTACCTTTGGCCTCCTCAAGTACAAGTGTACACAGTAATGATGCAGCACTAGCTTTGTTATGTAATCTGCCTCCTACTAGTTTAAACATCACCAATATTTATTAAAAAGCCTCTTATTAAAGTAGGTGTGAATGCTGCGAGCAGGGCAAGCACAACACAACCAATCGAATTCATATCATGCGAAAAAGAAGCGTGTTTTGCTAGTAAACATTCCCCTTGTGAGGCCCTTAGGGAGGTCTGTGTCTTTTATCTTTCCATGCACAGGCAGAGGCAGCAGGGAAGCCGCTTTATGCATGTGCGCACGGGGAACGGGATCTCCCCCAATTATGTTGTTATCTGTTCACCATGTTCTACTCACACAAATGCCAAATAAAACCATAGCTGTTTGGAAATATTGTAACAGTGTTCTTTGAAACCAGTAAATGTGTGAATAATATAAAACATGCATTGTATATTTCTGTTAAAATGTCTCTGCAAACTCAGCGTCTTGCAGTGGGACGAGGTTGGACCTTGATCAAATCATATCTCTTTCTTCAGGACTTACAGATCCTAATATTATGCAAAATTTACTTTTTTAATCATGTTAGAATGTTGTTACCCCCTCAGAAACATACCTGAAGTTGTGCCTTGTTTCATTTACACATTTGAGTAACCTTTTATTATTAATCTGTGTACATCTCCAAAGCTCAAAATGCTCTGTTCCATCTTGTGATCTCATGAAGTGGTAGTTTTTGGGTTGTTTTTGTGTTATTGTGTTTTTTTTTTTTTTATTTTGTTTTTTATTCTCATATCTCATATAAGGGAACAGGCTACATAATTAATTAGACGTCTGATGCTATTTTGGATCATATTGAACAGCCCCTCAATCACAAAATTGATTCTAGATTAGACCCTACATATGAATGCAAAAACCCAATGCACTTCACCATTTATGACTAGGAGTCCAAGTCAAAAATGGCCTCCATCAGAAAGACCAGAAGGCTTACGATAACCAATGACAAATTATGCACGGTACTTGAAAAATTAGGCCTATCACGATAATTACGATATCGACTTCATGTTCAATAATACATGAAAGCTGGAAGAATTTTTGGAGTCGTGTACATTTTTTTGCACTACTGGGAATGGCTATATGATAAGATTTAAGCTGTAAAAGGTTGAATTAATTGTATGACTCATTAGATGCAAACTAAGTACTAAAGTGTTTCATTGTAGCTCATGATTTTTTAACAATATTTTGCATTTAGAATAGATTTAATTCTGCTTCAGAGTTATTGTGGCAGTGGTATAAATTAGTTTCAGTATTATCGTTTATCACCTGTTTTGTTATTTCAGCAATGGATCACATTTCAAAATTTGTTAATGTGACAGACTTAGTAAAAACTACGGAAAAGGCTGGAAATGACATAACTTGATGAACACTACCACTTTACTAAAGAAACACAGTAATTCGTAATAGCAAAGTATAATTTAGGTAACAAAACATGTTTTATTTCCATTTACAGATTTTTGTTTGTTTTGTTGATACTAAATCACAAGCACACAAAGACCCAAAACCAGCTAATTGCAAGTACAACAGAGGATTCCCTGCATTCCCTGTGGGCTATATTAGTCTGACACCGGGGCACCTCGCGCTATCATTTCACAGCGCTGGATTTGGCCCTGAAGTGGCTTATTATCAAGTGTTGTTCTCCGCAGTATTGATGGTTTGTACTGCTGCAGTGTTAGGCCTGTCTCATCCCAGGGTTCTTGCTGACTGGGGAACAGCTAATTGGAGGAAGCCCTGGAGGAGTCAAGTAGAGAAGGAAAGGAGCGAAGGAAAGGAGGAGAGGGGCAAAGAGAAAGAAACAGTTAGGCACATGTTATAATACGTCAGATTTTCACTGCTTGCATTTGTTTAGAGTTATTCCTACTGCTGCAACTCAAAACCATAAGTCTGTATGTTTAGTGTGGGATTTTTCAGTGGAGTTTTGTTGTAAGTTCATAAAAATATTTGTTTTAAAATTTTGCTATCAAGAATACCTGGTCCGTGAGGATTGCATTACATTTCCATTTGACCCATTAGCCCATGAGTTTCAGACTCATCTTTATAGGAGCCATTTTGAGAAATATTCACTGTTCAAAAGATATATTGTTTTGAGTTGTTAATTGCTGTATCACCGGTTACATTGCTGAAACATAGTATAGAGCCACAAAGTAGGGACCCTAGGAGCAATAGTATAGGCTTCATACGCCATGCAGTTTTTTGTTTTTTGTTTTCATTTGTAATATACTCTTTGTTCATATAATACAAACTTTTGATGTAATTTTTTTTTTTTTTAAATATCTTTTCTTTTCTTTTTTTCTTTTTTTTTTTTATTAATCACCATAAAACATCTGTCTCTGGTTCATGTTGTTCCAAGTCTCTGCACATTTTGTACCATCTGTCCTATTTATTAGATGATTTTACTAATGATCTGTGAATCCTGTAGTTCAACAACGCTTTTCATAGTAATGCAAATCACTCTCATTTTAGTTCACAACCTGCACTCAAGTTGTCATTGTAATAAGCATAGTAGTTATGGAAAACAATGCACTGAACTGAAACTACTGCTTTACTGTAGGTCTATGCCGATGTTTTTAGCATTGTGGGAGATGTTTATTTTGTGCATGAAGACAAAATGTGCCTAAAATGTTCACAGTGTTGTACTTTTTTTTTTTCTCAAATGTTTTCAGTACATGTGTGGGTGTTTTCTGTATGAGAGGGAGAATGTGTGAATGGAGCGAGGTGCAAGTCTGTGCCCTTGACCCGCACGCTCACTGCTGATAAATAAAAAAAATGGCTGCCAACACTCACACATATTCCTCGTGTTTCCTTACAGACCATCATGGAGCAGTTCAACCCATGTTTGCGGAACTTCGTCGCCATGGGGAAGAACTATGAGAAGGCCCTTGCCAGTGAGTACATTTTATTATTTTATCTTCATTAATAGGCTACTTTATCATTATTTATACATCCATATATTATTTAGGTATAAATATTTGTTGTAAAAAGCATATTAAAATGTGTGATTTATCTTAAAGGACCAATATTATGCTATTTTCTGATGTGTTATAATGTTGTATCCTTGTCAAAAACAGGCCCAGAGTTGCACTGTTTCATTCGCACATGATTAACACAAAAACGCTGAATACTGAGTTCTTCTTTCAAACAGAATGACCTTTTAAACTCCATATACCTTCACTTGAATTTTTTGGATAATTTCAGCCCTGGAATTGCCGTTTCAACTGAACAAAGGTAAACGGTAGCTACTAACAACCACTACATGACATCACAAGATGCAACAGAGCATTTTGAGCTCCAGAGGTGTAGAGACTAAAAATGCAGGATTACTCAAACATGTATGAATGAAGCAAAACACAACTCCAGATATGTTTTGAAGCGATAACAACATTATACCATTATGGTTTAAAGCTCACAAGAGTTAATTTTGTGTAATATAGTACCTTTATTATGTCAATATAAATGGTCCATGCTTATCATTTACTGCCTGTGGTTTGGTCTTTAGTATGTTGTAGTATAGGCATATCAGAAGACTTACAAAAGCTCTTATCTGCTGCACAAGAGGACACACCTGCTGACAAAATCATGAGCCATAGCACAAAACCTTTACAGGAAAATGCCATTTGCACTGGCTCTACTGTGCTTACTTGAAAAAAACAAGCCTAAACTTTCCCTCTGTGCGGCCCTCCACGTTTGAACTAATCCGGCTTTGAGCGATCCCCCATTTGTCGGCACAACTCAGCCTCTCCCCCCGACACAAACAATAAGTAATCCAATGTCTGCTGTGGTGAAAGACAGACTGGTCAGGACTCTTGAGCCAATCTAAACCCACCCTGCAGGATTGTCTTGAAAGAAGGAAGTAAGCAGCTCTGAGAACCATCATGTATCCATATGGTCTAATTACTGAACTGGTACTGGCTTTGAATAGCCATTTTTCATGTTATGGCACAACAGTGTAAAGCAGCGGCACTTAATAAACTATTTGGCCCTCTGAGTACCACTAGATCTAAACCAGCTCTAAGAGAGGATTATTATAGTTGTGAACTAAAACAAAACAATAATCTGGATTAAATTGACTCTAAATTCTACAGGAATTTGTGGACCATTTTGCAGTTTGAGAACCAAGGACCTTATGTGTAAGATGGAAGGTAGAAGAAATTACTCTAAGATACGATAATATAGAATTAATGCACATGCAACTGATTAAGATCTCCCTCCTCTCTGAACTAATTTGCTATGGTAGTTTATAGCCTCATTTATAGTGTGAGGGAGCACGCACTATTTTTGTTTTAACAACATAAAAAGTGCTCTTATTATTAACTGTTTGTTGACAAAAGTAAATTAAATGGTTGGGAGTCTGATCATTATCAAAAAAAAAGGTTTAATATATGCTTTTGGTATGAAAATGTTCCAGCCTATTGGTCCCCCATATGAGCATATGAATCACTTTAATACATAATGAAAAACCATAAAAATCTGAGAAACAAATGTCTCTATACCTCCTGAAATGTGTTATCACTACCACAGACACCATGAGTGGGTGGAATTGGCTATAGGAAATAATGGATCCCCTAATTAAGAGATGTATGGCCTCCCCAAAGCGCGGAGTGCCTGCTCAGTAGCCCGGCAATGTGCAATCTGTGGCCCCTCCCCTACAGATTGTGTGTCTGCCTCGCAATGAGAGATCTGATAATCCTCGCCGTCTGTCTCCGGGAGAACCCCCTCACCACCACATTTCATTACACACAGTGAAGGAGCTGAGGACTCATCTGATCTGCTTAGCCCACTCTCAGTTGTCAATGCCAGAGATGCACAGTGTGAACATCCGCGACAAGAGGAGGCTACAGATCACTTTGAGATGCAATTTGGACGATATATTGTTCATAGGATAGTATCGAAAAGGATGCTTTGAAGATAAGCAAACAAAGAATATGAAAGAAACTCAAAAATCTGCAAAAGTATCTTATATGAAACAAACAAAAAAGAAAACTTGGGTAATCTTAAAGGCGCACAATTGGTAACTTTTTTGGTTGGGATCTGTCACCTCCTTATCCCCATGGAGATGTTATTGCTTTGCCTGGAAGGTTCCACAGCATAGCATTTGACTTATTTATCTCAATGGAGAAAAGCAGATGATGTAACCCGGCACATTTTCAGATCCTGTGGAGACGCAAGCATATTCACAGTATAAGAAGGCATGTTTTTTAAGGTATTTTTTAGTTAATTTTAATATTTTTATTCAGAACACGATAAATGTAATGCCATACTGTGGATCATTTTTTATTACAGTTCCACTTGCACCTGTAAATGTCATGGTGGTTGAGGGTCACTTGTAATGAATTGCAACTTCTAATGAATTGCAAATATCATCAGATGTATATATATATTTTTATTAACATCCCTAACACCCTTAACCTCACTTCATAGAAACAGGATAGCAGAGAAATCAACCATGACTCTCTAGAGACTGTACACTCTCCTCAGGTGTTTTCATTTGTGAGCGAAAAATATGCTCTTGTGTTTGGGTTGGCTCAGCTGTAATTGGGATTAGCATTAGCATACGTTCCTCAGCCCAGGAGCAGAGCTTGAGGCCCTCCACACTGAGAGCTTCCCTTTGCACTGCACACATCAGTTTGCTAAAATTAGCTTCAACTGCGCCCTATTGTTGAGGATGTGTCTCACCTGGCAGCTGTGGCCCTGGGTCGCATCTGTCACCCGGACCAATAGTGGAATCGGTCCAGAAGCAGCGGACATTATTCCCTGGAGAGGATGATTGACAGACAGAATGACATATGAGTGGAAACAACAGGATAACGGCATGCTCTACACAACCTCCAGTGGACTCTACACCTGCACTAACAAAACAAGCGAGGAGCGGATATTGACTGGCCTCTTTTTATGCCCTCTTTTTTATTATATTACACAAAATTGACTCTTGTGATCTTTAAGACATGTTAGAATGTTGTTACCTCCTGAAAAACATACCTGGAGTTGTGTTTTGTTTCATTCACACATGTTTGAGTAATCCTTTATTATTTGTCTGTCTATATCTCCAAAGGTCAAAATGTTCTACCTTGTGATATCATGAAGTGATGGTTTCAAGCTACTATTTACTATCTATTTTGTTTAGTACTGATTGATCATTTCAGGTCTGAAATTATCTAAATGAGTCTAGTGAGGGTTTATGAAGTTTGGAAATCACAGTGGAGCACTTCCTGTATTACCCCATTACCACGCATATGGTAAATGGTAAATGGTCACATTTTTCTATAGCGCTTTTCCACCTTCAAGGCACTCAAAGGCACTCATATAGAAACATAATTGTAGCAGAGGGCTGTAGACTGGTCTTAATACAGCAAGATGCATGTTCCAGAGCCACAACAAAGTCTTGGAACACTAATTCCAGGCCCAATTTAGGTCTGTATCACAATGCAATAATATGATAGAGTGATAGAAATACTAATTTGCAGTAAAAAGTAAAGTGTGTGTAAAATCCCTCAGTCTATGTAATGTCTATGATCATTTGTTCTAATTCAGTAGGAGGTTTGAGGGCCAACAAAAATTGGTCTGAGGACTGCATTTGGAGGCAATTTATTTACCACGATACTTTATTATTAGAGATGTCCAAATCTCTCGTTATATTATCAAAATATGCATCTCACGGTATGATATTTATTGCGATATTTTGGAGAGGCTGATATAATAGCAGATTGGAAGTTTTTTTGCTTTGAAAATACAATGACAAGATTTTGGTGTGAATTATTACTGTCATAATCCCAAGAATTCAAGTAAAAAACATATAACTTCATGTTATCTGCGCTGAAATAAATCATGGGATATGTAGTTCTCAATGTTTATTAGCTACTGCTATTATAAAAAAAGGCATTTAAAGCAATGGAACTTGTAATTTGATATATTGTGACGCCCTACGGTGAGAGACTTTTGACAATATGATGTCACAATATTTCTGTTATTGTTACATCCCTATTTATTATGCAATATTAATAATAGTTCAGAGTATGTGATAGTGAGTGTCCTATTCATGAAACTAGTCTCGTTCAACTCTATGACTGATAATTCTGTGGTAGCGCCATAGCTCAAAAAATTTCCCTAAATGTGAATTCAAGATTGACCACTAAGCCCATGTTTTATCACCTCCTCTTCTGCTGTCACACAATAAGAGCCAGCCCTCAGGAGGAAGCCGTCTGTGAAGTCCAGACGGTAGAGAAATAGTGATGTTCCTTAATCATCAGCCTCGTCAAGCCAAAGTGTGACCCCAGGGTTCCTCTGACAAATCCAGGGTGAGGAAATAAAATGGTCCATGTTGGCTCAGCGCACAGGTCACAGCGTGTGGCTAACAGTGTGACTCGGCCTTTTCCTCGCTGGAATGAAAATGTGCTCAGAGGAATTGGACAGTCAATATTGAATTGAAACACCCTACTTCCTATTCACCTATTCATCAAGTACAGTACTGTGTCCACGCCTGTCATGATAGCAAACTTTGATGAGCGATATTTAAAGACACTAAATGATAATATTAAAACTAACTTATGCCACTGACACACTAATCTTAAAGCTTTCTAAATTTGTAATATTGTTAAAAAGCATGAGCTGCAATAAATGGTTAAATAACAAAATTAAAAACGTAAGATTTAGTGTGTATTGATGATTCAAATTTATTCACAGCTCAAATCATGTTGTAGAACAGAAGTACAAAAAAAGTACCCACAATAAATAAAAGTACCCCCACAAATTATTACACCATGTATCATGTATTGAACGATAGCCTCATATAGTAGTTATTGTGACTTTTTTTTTTAATGTGTCCTAAACTTTTATCAATTATGTACTTAAATAAACGTTGCTAAACAGTGGCATATCTTGGAAACCTAGAATAAAAGATGGGCTTTATGCATGAATGTTATCTTGTGAAATGTTATTAAATGCTTTACTAGGAAAGAATTCTACACTATGTACAAAGCCGTAATCGTGGTGAAAACAAAACTGAAGTCGTGTACTACCAGACAAAACCTGAGCATCTCCACTTGTGCCTGGACCACAATATGATAAGCAAAATCCACTGAACTAACATATTCAGAATTATCTCATGTAAACAGCCACTCTCAAAACTAAATCCGCCCAAATATTGACTCAGCAGCTTATTATATAACAGCGGTAAAAGGTACATAACCCTAATTTGTGCACTATTCTACTGTTCTGTTGTATGGGAGGACTGCAAAAGGCGGAACATGATATCTGCAGGACACATGTCTCACTCCGTGTCATTTGTGTAGGTAAAAGATTTGTGTGTGATTATACATGGATTATGAATAGAAAAATCAGTGTCATTTAGCCATGGCAATCACCCTGATTATCTGTCAGAAAATAATTTCCTCTGTGCAACTAAGTACGAAGAATGCTAGTAAGGTAATTTTCCATAATTGCGTCAAGCATTAGCGAGGTCTAATTTCTGATGGTAAAAAACAGTGTCAACCTGTCACTCCATCTGAACCTCTGGAAATACTGTATGTGATACTGTTAACTTTGTGACAACTATCAGGTGAAGTGATAAGCACAGCTAATTCCTGTATTGTTACAGGGACTGCACGTTATGTCACAACTAGAGATGGGCATTCGATGAAATTTTCTTAATCGATCGTCGGAAGAATTAACGAATTGATTATCGATTAATCATTAACGCTTTTATTATAAAATTATCATCATTATTATTACTATCTGCACTATTAATCTGCATAAATAAATTCAACTTTACGACATATAAACCGTAACCAATCTAGAGCCACGTCAATCCATTTGAGATTATAATGTGTTTAATTCAGTTTTGCGCAACTCTCACAGTTGGATTAAAAGACATGACTCAGTGGAATACAGGTTAGTGTGACCAGATTTGTGTTTGTCAAAACCAGGACACCGTACGGGAGGTGGGACGTGGGGACTTGTCATCGATATTGCGCTACTCTCACCTGGCAAAACTTTTTCCCATTGGACACTGAAACATATGTGCTGTTTTGTACACTGTGCACATGGCCTCACACTTGTCCCGAACGGAAAGTGTGGAATTTCTTGTACAAGTCATCGTTGCACATCATTCGCATTTGCACTTCAGTACGTTGCAGGCTGACCTTCTGAGTGCAGAGAGCTACATGTACGGACCCCTGTTTGGTCACGCTACACACAGCAACCTGCATTCGGTTTGTCGATTAAAATGAACGTAATCAATGAAATTCTTAATGATCAATTATCGATTAATCAACTAATTATGCCCATCCCTAGTCACAACAAATCAAAAATTGTCACTGCAACGGCTGCGATTATTTAGATAATAAAATGCTATCTGCAATGTTCCTGTTACAGCCTTTTCTCAAATGTAAATGCTTCTGTAGTTATTTACAATGTTCACTGTGAACAGAATTCTACAGTTTTAAACATAATTGCAATCTTTTGAAATGTTTTTTCAAAAGATCTAATTCTTAAGCTTGTTAGTGCAGGATTATGTTTAAATAAAAATGAGCAAGTGGAATAATTGAGCGGAGTTTGAAGTATTCAGACTGCACTGAAGTTGTTTTTTTAAACCTCTTGCTTTTATGGGGAGTTCCTGATGAGGTCAGTAATTATACAAAAGGGGGTTATATAATGTTGTTGTTCACATAGCTTTTGTCTCTCACAAATCTTGTCTCCAGTACCCCTTTTTGGCACAAGTCCAATCCACTCATAGTGAATGGTCCAATTAGATCTTATTGGGATCATAATAAATTTTTACTTGAAACAGACAGTGTAATGTTAGGTCTCACAGTTGTGTTTGTCTTTTTCTTATTTTTAATCACATATAATCACATTTATATTCTGCTTTATTGGTCTATGTGAGTTCTGACTTAATAACCATTTCCTCTCTTCTTTCTTTGCTCTGTTTGTAGGTGTGACATTTGCTGCCAAAGGCTATTTCGACGCTCTGGTCCGAATGGGCGAGCTGGCCAGTGAGAGCCAAGGATCCAAAGATTTAGGTGAGGAACCGTTTGACTAATGAAGTCCCCTCTTCCTCCTGTCTGCCTCTCTCGCTCTCTCAGCCACAGCGGGCCTTTTTACAATAGCATTTGCACACACCTACATTACCCAACATGCACCAGCTCTCAGCGAAAGAGATTAGGAAAATAAGAAGCATTCAAAAACATGTGTGGGCCGATACAGCAGGTGTTTAATTAGAAAAATGCATCAAGAAAATATTTAAAAATGGAAAGTAACAGAAGAGAAATTTGTGCACTTCTCAGCAAAGATGCCATTTTGTTCCTTTTGCAAAAGAAATTCTGTTAACATGGAATCATACTTATTATAGTTATTCTATAGTTATTATATATTTAGTATATACATCTAAAATAGTTTAAAATGTAATATTGGTACCACTTAGAGCATTATCTATTCTTTGTAAAGCTGCAGTCTCAGACCATGCAGTATTGGCTTCAAATGGGGTGAGATGTGAATCATCTCAACTTACAACCTTAAACAGATAAACTTTTTGAAACCCAAATGTATTTCTCTATGGTGTGTGGAGGAAGTTCCTTTTGCACTGACTGAAGGGCCGATTCATGTGTCCTGAGTTATAATGCTTGATAGGACATGTCTTTGTTGTGGTGAAGCTTCAGATTGAGTTTAGGTTTTCCACAGACCAAACCACTGACACTGACATAAAAAGGACTCCTGGGATGTTTTATTCAACAAGCAGCCCCTTTCCCCTCCTCTCTCCCCTCTCCCCTCTCCTCCCTTCTCTCCCCCTTCCTCTCTTTTTATCTGGCTTCTCTTGACTTTTGACAAACATGTCCAAGGGTGACAACTGTGCACCTAAAAGGTAGAAGAACTGAATGAATAACAACAGTGTATATTTTCAACAAGATGACATTTGACAGGGGCAAAAATACTTATTGCGAATGGCCAACTATTTCACTTATTTTGGGAATTTAATACTAAAATATGTGTTTTCTACATATCAAGGTTGGTTTATTTTTTTTTATTTTTTGTCATTTTTCCAATACCTTTCCTGTGTCACTCGACCACACCTTATATGACTGAACTTGAGTCAGTTGTTTTTTTCTTGTTGTTGTTAGAATAACATTAAACATATCTAATATCTATGGAGGACACTTTAATACCTTGAACTGGAACATTAAGCAAAACAATAGCATTTCCATGGAGAAGAAGATGTTGCAGTTCCTCCACCAGAAAATTGCACCAAACTAATTTCTGCTTCCTCTACTACTTTTGTTACTATAGTACACATTACACACATGCAGTATAGACTGAAGTAGTAAATATGAGGTGATTTTAAAAGCTTGGAGCCAGCTGGAACATCTGAACATTGAGTGGGTATTCAGTGACTCATGCGGCTAGTCAAAAGACACATTGTTTTGATGCTACCATTAAAGACACTTCTCTATGTGATGTTATGTAATGCCAGTGATGCAGTCAGAGATACTACTTCCTGTTGTGGAACGTCACAGACACACAGTTCCCAACACTTTCGCCAGGATAACCATCAGATTCCCGTTTGGGTGACTCGATAGCATATATCAACAGGATTTGTGCAACACGCTTCCTGGATTAATTTGAGTGTTGTCTCAGTATTTCAGTACTATGGAAAACTTGTGGTACTTGGTGCCAATTTTGATACCCCTGTGAATAAAAACACACACCTTTTCTTTTTATTATAATTCAGTCAGTATAATGGAATTTTCAGTACAGAATAATGTTTTGTTGGACATGTTAAAACTACGTTACGCCTCAGGGCTCTCTCCAATTGTTTTGCTAATCTGCAATGATGGCTGTTAGCATTTCAACTCCACCCAGAGCAGTTATTGCATTGGAGTTCACACAAGTAGAAGAGGCTTTAGTATGTGTGCGTGGCTCCATTTTACAGCTTAGCAGTATTAGAAAGAAATGCTCTATTAATTACATCGAGAACATATGTACAAGACTTTAATTACATGCACTGTAACACGCCATGCAGACAATTTTCACCTTTTCATATGTTCATGTTTATTACTTCTGAGTATACAGTGTGTGTATCATCCAATGGGGGCTCCTTAAGAGACAGGCAAATGGTCGCACCTACACAGCGAGCATCCCCAGCTGTTCTGCCTCTCTCTACTCTCTCCACTTTCTTCCCCTTATGCTTAAAACAACTGCACCGTGTTGCTGTTTTCATTATCGATAAATCAACGCCATAATTCGCCTGCAATGTGTTCCCACAAGATTGCGGCGCACTGTACGGACATGTTTGGTGCAATTACAAAGTTACAATAACGCGTACATCCAGTTTTCCAAATCGATTGCTATAAGTGCTGTCTTTTAATTCATTCTGCTTTAAGATAGACCATCTCTCTCTCTCTCTCTCTCTGGTCTCCCCGTTGACTCCCCCGCACTACTCCCACATATCCTCTTTAGTTGGGCTAATCATCGCCTGTCACTGCACCACCCACCAGCACATGCATACACACATTTTACATACACACACCTGCTCCCCTCCGTTCACTCCTCTATAGCTCCCTCTCTCCTTCTCTTTCTCTCTCTGTTTCTCTCTTCTCTTTCTCTCTCTTTCATCCTTACTCTTCTCTCTCTCTCTCTCTCTCCCTCTCTCTTTCTTTCTCTCTTTCGCGCGCTGTCTCTCCCTCATTCTTTCTTCTTCTTCTTCTTTCATCTGCCCTCATGAACCCCTCTGACATTTCTGCTGCTCCAAGCCATCTAGGGAAATCCAGGAAATCCAGACCTAGCATGCATACTTATGGACATTCACAACAGTCTGAAGTGACTAGCTCCAGTTTTATAGTGTTTATACTGATCTAAGCTACAAGGCCGGTTATTTATGGGCAGGCCTAAAGCCAAAGAGGCACTTCACATCTCCACTGTTTATACATTTACCTTCTATAACCCTTCTTGTTTTTCCTAACAAGTCATATCCCTTAATGGAAATACTTAATACACCAACATTTTTAATAGAGACATATTATGCCTAATCTACTTAAGAGCTTTTAAGCATGTTTCTCCTAACTCATTCAAAGTTTTATCTTGATTCATTGTCCTGCATTTATGGCACCATTGCTCCTGTTTTTTCTTACCCCCTATAAACATCCACTGCTCAGTTTTTTGTTTTTTTATAATACACGTTGGATTGCGTGGCCATTTTGGCACTTTTTTTTAATTCCACTGCTATCTGAGGTGAACTAGCCATGTATAGGCAAGGCTGTCTGCAATTTATCTGTCTTTATTGCTGTGGGACCTGCATTCTAATTTTAAGCAAAAACTCTAAAGAATTATAGTCAGTTCTCTGGTTATCTTAGCTGTGCATTGCTTCTATAGACTATACCTGTATTTCTTTAGGTTTTTGGATGCTTTATTTATTTAACTAACTTATAGTGTGCGTAGTTTTCATCTCATGACAATGTATTTAGCAATCATGGGATGATTGTGTAATTAAAAAATATTTAAAAGTGCTTTCTCCTCCAGAGCTTGCACAAATCAGTCCATTAGATTTGGTAACATAGCTAATTCCCCCATTTCAATAAAGCATACTCATGACTCAGCAGTTCTGTGTCTCCCATGGGAAATTACAGGCATCAGAGTGGAGAAGGAAACATATTAAAGTGTTTGAACCCGCACAGTTCTGGGGCTGCTGCTTTTAGCTGGGGGGCACACATCGCACCTCTCAGGCCTCTCAGTAATTACCTGCATGGGAAGAAAGTTCATGCAGGGAAAATGAGACTTTAACCCCCATGTAGCGCAATTTAGTTTGATGATGAAAAGGTAAAGGTTCTCTTATGTAACTTTTGTACTCGGCCAAGGAGAAAATCTGGGTTTCTTACTTTGTTCAGCAAAAATCCATCCCTCATTTTTAAGTTAATAAGCAAGAATCATACTAACCAAACATAGGCGAGAATCATGATAACTGGATATCAAAAGTTTTATAAAAGATGGACCATATATTCTCTTCAAAAACAAATTGAAATGGTTGTAAAATTTGAATATCAAATATTAGAGGGCCCGCCACTTGCTTATTTCCATGGAGATCTTATTGCTTTGTCTGCAATGGCATTACATTTGTCAGTTTCCATAGAGATAAGCAGGAGACTCCAGCAGGCCAATTTACAGGTGAAATCTGTGAATAGGCGACCCCACTCCCATTCATAATTGAATAAATGCATTTTGGAACATTACAGGCAAAGCAATAGCATCTCCAAGGTGGCGGACACCCATCCTGAAAGGTTACACTGTGCACCTTTTAAGTCTGTAATAAAAAAAAGTATTTAATGTCAAAACAGCAGTATATTTTTTCACACTACATGTATTTAATTTTATAATTCATTCACACTTGTAATATGTACTAGCAAATGTCAGCCAAGATTGATTGCAAAAAGCATGCTATAACCGTTCTTAACATTTAAAAATATCTAAAATATCTTTTTATATCTTTTTTTTTGTCAATATCTGCCACCCTATAAGCCATTACAGTTTTACCATAGTGAAGTCTTATCTCACATCTGTGACCATATAACTCACAAAGTTAACCTAATACTTTCCCAATGATGTGTGTGCCACAAACTTAGCTGCTCCAAGCTAATGGTGGTCGAAACATTAACTCTGAACACATTGTAATTGATAGACCTCCCACAAATTCTTGTACTGTACACAGGCAGCCCTCTCTCTCTGGCTACGGCCTCCCTCTCTCCTCCTCCAGCACCTGTCCCTGTTTAAATGAGAGCAGAGGAGCTCTTTTCATAGCACTGTGCCACCATCCCAGGGGTCCATGCCTTCCTCCTGCTCTATTTCTGAGAAGCGCAGTGCATGATGGGAAGCCAGTGTCCTCCACACACTCCCCAGTTCTTCTGCACAGTTTGCCCTTCATTTGATGATTGTATTGACGTGTGAGAAGGTTAGGCTTGTATGTAGAAGATAATGAGGATAATGTTGTTCCCCTGCATTTTTTTCAAAACCAAATGATTGATTGCAAAAGTTGAAC